CCATTCTACTTGTTCGTATTTATATCCAGTGAAGATAGAATAGAAGTTTGGAGAAGGTGTATAGAACTTTATACCGAACTGAAAAATCTTCTAACTTTGACAATAAGATATCCCAAGCATCTAACATCTTCATTCCAACTTGTACAACTTTTATTTTCTTAAGTTTCTGTTACATTCTTGTTCTGAAACTATGGTTGCTCTTGGTTTGTTAAAGACAACATCCCATTCTTTCATAACATAACATTCTGGGGCAGAGTCGACATAAATGACTAAACGTTTCAAATTCTCGACTGCTTTGTTATAGTCTCTAAATGGACACATATTTCTGAACGCTTGGAAGTCATAAAAATCTGAAACGTCTATTCTGTACATTTTTATAAAAATAAAAAAAATATTTTTTTTATTCTTGAGCTATTTGTTGCATTTGTTGTTCTTGAGCTATTTGTTGTTGAAGTTGTTCTTGTAGTACAATACTTTCACCAGTTGCATCTTCCAATTCGAAACTTTCTGCCGTCATTGACAAATACATAGGACATAAAAGTTTTACAGGAACAAAGTTTGCGTCAACTAATGTCAACGTTATACTTGCCAAAGTGTTTGAGTTCACTAAGGTTGAAAATTCTGCATTCGAATGAACAATAGGCAAACCAGCAGAGAAAGTGTTGTTTATACGCATAAGTATCTTTTGGTCATAATAGTTTCTGTCGACATTCGAATAACACTTTGAACCTAAGTTTGAAACAATATATAAAATTGGTGTGCTTAATGTCAATGGAATAGACATTCCTTGTATGACACCTTTTCCTGTTATAGGAAACTGTTGGTAGTAAAAACCAGATATAAGTTTTGTATTATAGCTCATATCGTTTATACTAAACTCAGTCGGACATCCAAACATAATGAAACCTGCTCTAGTTGCAGCACATGTTACATCCGTCCTTAAAGTATTAAATAAGTCAACAAAACCTGTTGGTGGTATATCTGAGTAAGTATCTTCAAAGAAGTATTTTTTACCATTCACAACAACAAAGTCTTCTGGTGTCAAAAGAGCAAAACAGGCTTTAGTCGTCATTGTGTTTAAGGTTAGTTTACAATATCGTCCTTGAGGACTTTGTAAGTTTGTTGTTATAGAATTATATGACTCAGGGTTTTTAGTCGTAATAGTATAACCACTATGTCTTCTGCCATTTACTTAGCAAGTAAATTTTAATGAAATGTTGTGGTCGTCAAATATTTTTATGACGTCTGGGAAACTATATTTTAAGTTCAACGTTTCACCTCCTTTCATAACGTATATCTTGTCAATGACATTATATGAAACACCACAGCAACTAACGTCGGGTTCTATTTCTTTGATGTTTATATCGTCTGCCTCTGTCAAAAGTTTCAATAGTTCTTTCAAAACTTCATGAGGTGCGATGACATATGAGTTCACTTTTACAGGGTTGTGTTCGACCAAGTTTAACATTATACCAAAGCTTGACAAATCTTCTCCTGAGTTTTAAGTTTGTCTTTAAGTTGTTGGTAGTCGTTTCGAATATCTGCAACAGAACTTAAGTCTCTGCTAACTTCAGGGTATGTTGGTTGTTCTTTTACAGGAACTATTGTTATACCATCTTCGTCTTCGTATGGTTTCCCCACTTCAACATCTCTTTCTTTGACATTGACAACAACACTTTGACTGTTTGTTTGAGTTGGTGAATTTAACTTCACATCTGCCATCGCCATTAAACCTTTTGAAACACTTACGCTTCTATTTTTCGGAAATGACATTTTACTTAGAATAAAAAGATGGACGTATTTGAGTATCTCTTCGAATTGAAGCAAACAAAGTTTACACACACAAACAATACAAGTTCATTGATAGAATAGTTCTTTATACAAACAATGGAAAATGTTATAGAATAGCAGTCTTTGCTGAACCAAAATATTTTCATAAAGCAAAGAAAGTTGGTATAACTGAAATGGTGAAAGTTCTTGAAGCAGACAAAAATATAACAACAAAACTTACAGATATTTCTAAAGGTAAGTTTATAATACAATTTTATGTCAAAACTGGCGTACTGTCAATATTTGACGGAGAGAAGTCAGTTCAAGAACAACTTACTGACCTGCTGCCAAAATCTGCTCGATGGAAGCTGTCGTTATGCCAATCTGAGGAGCCCCAGCAGGTTTCATCGAACGAATCTTCAAAAGAGCATCTTCCGTGAAAAGTGCTATTGGTTTTGTAAACTTCTTTGCTCTCAGTTCATCTGGACCGTCTCTGTCACCAGTATATTGTATTTGAACTGTACCAACAGTTGAAATACCACCCATAAAGTCTTCTGAGTCAGCAAATGGAATGCCAAGCCAAAAGTTTGAACGGTCTCCATTTGTATATTGAGTTTTTTGACCTCCTGTATGAGTCCATACTTTCACATATGGCATAATAGAACTTTGCATTTCAGGGTTAATGGTTGTTGTGAAGTTGTTGTTAAAGTTCATAGCATCTAATGTCAAGTTGTATGACCTCATATCCTCAACTGTAGAATATTCTTCTCTTGGATAATATTTGCCATCTATGTTTATATGGTATTTAATACCAGGGTTGTAGAAGCAAGAATAGTCATTTATAGTTCGTCTGAACAGTACAAACATAGTATCTGCATGTTTCATTGCAGTTGTTAAAGCAATATCTGTTCTTGCACCTGGGTCAGCACTTTGGTTTCCAACTTCACCTGCAAAGTCTTTGACAGATATTTGGTGTATAGGGAACATAAGTGGAACTGCAATATATTTGGCAGCTAAAGCATTTGAAATATCTGGGTCCAACATATAGACTGCAAGTCTGCTTTCTATTCTCTTGCATTCAAACTTTTCGCATGTGAACTTAACTGGGTCCCAAGCAGTTCCAGCAGCATTGAAATAATAGTTTACTTCAGTGTTGAGGTTTGAGAAACCAAAGTCTAAGTCAACTTTGTCTTTGCAAAAGTCGGCGAATGACGTTTGATTTGCTCCCTTTACGTCTGTAATAGTGAATGGGTCTTGTGTTGGTGCAATGACTAAGTTATTTTTGCTTGGAGTAAGTTCGATAGAAATTTTTCCTGCCCAGTTTGGCAAGTATCTTAAAAACCTGAAGATGAGGAAAGATGACAAAGGAACTCTAAGTTTCAATTTTACTTTGGTTACTGCTGCTGCAGTTTGTCCAGAAAGGTTAACATAAACTCCTGGAACGTTAGGGTCAAGTCTTCTTATTTTCTCAATAGTTGCATACTGGTCTGTTTGTTCTCTAGCTTGTGGTTGTACTGAGTTTCTCAAAGCGAACCATTCATAGTTTGCCCATGTTACTGTTTGAACTAAGTCAGAGTTAGAATATATCTTATATCCCATGAAAACTTCTGGAGCATATTGGTATCCGACATAGAAAATTCCATTGCAACCTTTCTTGTCAGACAACTTGGCAGAAGGTTTTATTTCAATGTCTTGTTCCACGTATAAGAAAGAGTTGTCAATAGAAATTATATGAAACCTGTCGCAAGCAATATCTACTGTTGTTGAAGAACCTTCTCCAAACTCACCTACGTTTCCATAAGAAACAGCAGTTGTATATTCGTAAGTTCCAGGAACTATTTCTGACCTTCTAATGGCATTGTCGCATTCGTTATACCATTCGGAAACATTTCCGTTCATGGCATCCAAAACTGTTGGCGTTATATTCTGAGCGGCGTACATTTCATATGAGTAAAAATATAGAATAGTTGGATTTATATGTCATAATAGAACCCACTCCGACCAAGCTTTACTTTCTTCCTGACTGAGTTTTTAACTCTTCTTTTTCCTTCATTGCCCTCTGCTTGAAGTTGTTGCATCTTTGCATTATGTTCATCTAGTATGTTGCAAATTTCCCATGTCCTTTTTGCCTTTTGGCTCTGGTCGCCCATCTCAGGTAACCTATATCCTAGAAAGAGTTTGTCATAGTCTGTATTTGAGTCTTCGCGTATTGTTTGCATGACTCTTTCCTGAGTTTCCGGTTCAAGCTCTTCAAACAGTGCCTGTCCATATGGAATATGCTCGTTTCCAAATATATGTTTTTGTAGCCATTCTGGTTTTCTTTCCATGTTACCAACTATATCTTTTGTGAATGGGAAAGCTTTTACCCAATCTTTCAGTCTTGCGTCGTTTATTTCTGTAGTTGGTTTTATTTTGTCAAGGAACATGTTTTTCAATACTAACATTTCATTTGGTACTGTCCATTTGAGTTTACTTAAATATTCATCCCTTCTCGGTTCATTGTCTGCAAAGTAAGTTTTTATGACATTTTGTAAACTTTCGTTTGCAAGGTCATGTACAATAGGTTCTCTTCCTTCTCTCTCCCTAACTGTCTTTCTAAACTCTTCACCAAATATACCATCTTTATGGTTCTGTGTAGTTCTTTGAGATAAATGTTTTAGAACGTCAGGTGTTATATTTCCATCAGCCATGTTCATTTCATACTGGTCCAAAATATCTGCATGTTTCATATCTTTCAATGGCATTAAAGCCGCGCTGAAAATACCAGCTATATCTGGTTCACCATTCACTTCCATTGCGTCTACAACTTCTTGGAATTGAGGTTGTAAGTTTATGAACCACCTATCCGGATTAGCTTTATGACCCCATCTCATTGTAGTTCCATCGTCTGCAGAAACAAAAGTAGGTTTGTTTCCATCTTGGCTAGGTTCTGAATGAACTTTAAACAATGTTTCATTTCTATATGTTTTCTTGAAATTTAACCTTTTATTTTCACCGAGTTCATCCAAAGATTGAACGTTAAATGCTCGTAAGTAAAAAGGGTTGTTGTATTTGTGTACATTTTTTTTCAGTTCTTCCATTCTATGCTGGATATTTTCATCTGATGTTGGAGTCTTTTGTATGTCGGCAAACATTTTTCGATATTCTTCTACTATGTCAGCCGAATTTTTTTTAGACTCTTGGAAATATTCCATATTCTCCGCATACTCTTGTTGAGGGTCAAGATTTTTCGGCTGTTCCAAATCTTCATCTAGTTCTGTGAAGTTAGTTTCCAAAGGAAGGACTTGTTCGTTTCCTTCAGGCTCTTCTAGCTGTTGTTGCTGAACTATTTCTTCCATGTCTGGTTGTATCTGAACTTCTTCCTGTGGAGTTTCTTGTACCTCATCTGCTGGCATTTCATATATTCCGAGACCGTTTTCAACAATTTCCCTATCTACGTCATCCGCATTCATAAGCTTTTGTTCTTTCGTTCCGTCTCTATTTTTTACGCGTTTCATGACGAAAGTTGAATTGTCATTTAGCTCTGACATCAAATATCTCGGAGTAAATTCATCCATGTCATTTGGATGATATGCTATTAAATCATATCCCTTAGCGAGCTTGTATTTTCCAGGTTTGAGATTATATCCGTTTTGGTGCTGAGCCATAAAGCTAAATAGGTTCGGGTCAGTATTTCCATCCTTGAACTTTCCAATAGCTTCTTTATATCTGTCACTAAAGTCAACAGTATCTGGGAAACCACACTCTTCTTTAAGCATTTTTAAGAATTCTTGGTTTCCTTGTTCTCTACTTCTTTTATGTCCTTGCTCTGTTTGTGGTTGTTGTTGTGCAGGGTTTTGAACTGTTGGTTGCTGTGCTGGTTGTTGTGTTGGTTGTTGTGCTGGTTGTGGAGGTGGTTGTTGTGCTGGTTTTGGTGCATGCCTGTGTCTGTGTCCATGTGACGATGTAAATGTTTTAGGTAGTCCTGGTGCAGGTGCTTCTCTTGGAGGGTTTGGTGGTATATAAGTTCCACCAGCTGGCACATATGTTCCATCTGCAGCATAATGTCCTACCTGACTTTTCGTTCTTAAGAAAGCATTTACTAGGTCTGTTTTGGTCTGTTGTAACTCTTTTTCTTGACTTTCCACAACAGTTGCTCTAACGGCGTCATAGGCACTTTGAACTGCCTGTCTCGTTGCTGCATCTGTTATTTTCGTCATATTTTGTGCTACTTCTTTTAACTCTTTGTCGAAACCTTCAGACTTCAGTTTCTTTCCAGATGAGAAGTCGTTCACTAGTTTCACCTTACTATGAAGAGCTTCGAAAGCGTTCTTAAAGTCAGCCTTCATTAAAGCTTCATTTGAACTATCTTCATCCGCTTGTATTTTTGTCCTTATTGACCCTATAAGTTGGGCTGCTTTAGCGTTGGCTTGGGCATCTAACCAGTCATTATTAGCTTTTATATATTCTGCGCTTTTCATTGCCTTTTGCATGGCTGCGTCGTTATTTTTACTTTCTTGTGCTAAGTTTTCATACTGTACGGTTTGGTTTTGCAACTGTAAAAGTTTTTCTGCCTTTACATTTGCTTCAACTTCTTTTTTATACTCATCGCTATCCATATATGTCTTCAGGGCTTTTTGTTTTATCTCTTCATCTTTCAGTATTTTATATTGAGTAGTATGGTTTTTCAAATTTATGACATCTTGTTCCATTTTTGCTACTTCTGCTGCTTTTTCTGACACTTTTTTCGCATATTCCTCTGTACTTAGTTCTTTCAGTTGTTCTTCTTTCTTCTTTTTCTCTACGTTTAACTCATTGAGTTTCTTTGTGTGTCTGTCATATTCTAGTTTCTTTTCGTTTTCACTTATTTGCTTCTGTATGTCTATGTTTGACTTTTTGACATCTGTTATTTGATTTTTGAGTGAACTCAAATTCATTTGACTTTGAGGGTTATAAGCTGTTCCGTCTGCAGCTCCACCATAGCCTGCCATTTTCGCTAAAAGTGCCGCTCTTAAACCTCCACTCTGTGCACCAATAACTCGGCTTAAAAGCATAGGGTTGCTTGACATTTGTTGCAACATAGTGGGGTCATTCATCATTTGTTGTTGCAACTGTTGTTGTGGTGTCAGTTTTACTATTGGATGTTTCAATGCTCTCTTCCTCTTACGTATATTCTTACGTAGCTTACGTGGCATTTTAAGTGAAGTTAAAAAGCGGTTTTTGACAGATGTTTATTGTGACTTCTTCGTAAAGACTTTGTTAAGACTTCTTCGTAAATGAGTGTAAATGACCCAAAAATATATTTTAGGGTAGAAGGGTATATCTAACCTCTTTTCTAACCTCTTTTCTACCCTCTTGAATTTTCATGAACTTTCTTGTCTATGTTTTGTTGAGATTTCTTCGTAAAGACTTTGTTAAGACTTCTTCGTAAAGACTTTGTTGAGACTTCTTCGTAAAGACTTTGTTGAGACTTCTTCGTAAAGACTTTGTTAAGACTTCTTCGTAAAGACTTTGTTGAGACTTCTTCGTAAAGACTTTGTTGAGATTTCTTCGTAAATGACCCTAGTAGTATATTTTTGGTGTAAATTTCATGAAAATTCAAGAGGGTAGAAAAGAGGTTAGAAAAGAGGTTAGATATACCCTTCTACCCTAAAATATATTTTTGGTGTAAATTTCATGAAAATTCAAGAGGGTAGAAAAGAGGTTAGAAAAGAGGTTAGATATACCCTTCTACCCTAAAATATATTTTTGGTGTAAATTTCATGAAAATTCAAGAGGTTAGAAAAGAGGTTAGATATACCCTTCTACCCTAAAATATATTTTTGGTGTAAATTTCATGAAAATTCTGAGTAAAATGACAGATGTTTATATGACACTTTCTCCGGTTTATAGGACCTCTCTCATATTCTAAACATCTTCGGGGCTAGAGGGCACGAAGTGCCTGGAAGCCCCACTACCTTTTTTTTTTTTTTTTTTTTTTTTTTTTTTTTTTTTTTATTTAACAATAAATGGAAATAAAACGAAATTGTTAAAAGAAAAAAATGAAAATTGTTAAATAATATATTATTTTTTAGTCATAAGAATAAAAATATAGTAGTTATAAAAGGAATTAGACTTCATATATCAATTCTTTTTCTCTGTAGATGTGGAACGTTTGCTTTTCGATCTCTTTCGATGAACTTGAAAATATAAGTTATTATCGCTGAGAATCCTTTCCGAAATAGGAGCTTTACGTTTAGGAGGATTGTCGGATGAATTTTGTTTTTTATTGTTTGATTTTGTTGTTATGGAAGATTTTTTCTTATTTTTTTCAGAATTTTGCTTGCTATTAACTGAAACTTGTTTTGACGGCCCAACAATAGCATTTGTAGTAGGAAGAATTCCCAATAACGAGCGCATTTTCGATAATTGTTTTTCAATATGATCAAGAAGGTCCAGCTTATGTTCTAGATTACTAGACATTTGATTTGTAGAAGGATGGTTTTGATTTTCTGGTTCTAAATCTGTAGAGTCTGCAATATTTGAATTTTCGGAGCGAATTGGAGCATCTGAACCTTGATTTGTATCGGCTTGCTCAAAATTAGTTTGAATTGGAGTGGATGAATTAAAATCTGGATGATTTAATGTTTCATTAAATAATGCCATAATTTTTTCTCTTTTTTCATTAATAAACTTAGTGATCATTGTATCTTTATCTGTTAGATCGATCGATTTGAGTATATCTGCATCATGAACTGGAATATTTTCGAACAATGAACTCGATTCTATGGAACCATATGGAGAAATCTCGTTCTGAGCCAAAGAAAGATCACTTACGTTGTATTGTTTGATAGAAAAAATTGTTTTCTCAAGTTCTTTTTGAAAGCAGTCAAGAATATAATTTTTGTAGCTATCAGTGATAACGGTTTTTATATGGCGCTCGATCTTCTGGTTATTTTTGATGGCGTTATATTTATCTAATTGGATTTGAGATATCTTCTTAATAGCTTCATAAATGTTTGGATGTTTTAACGAAGAAAATTCTGAATGCATACTCTCGAGGCAATCATTAGTGAATATTGCAGTTGCATTATTATATTGAGATATTAAATTGTAGTGCGGCAACCAAACTTTGTTGAAATAATCAATATAATCTTTGATCGAATCAACTTTATTTTGATTAATTATATGCATTGTAAGTACAAATTCTTCATGAGACATGAATGGAGTAATAGAATATAGCTTAAATAAAGAATTTTGTAAAGTATTGAAATTTTTTGTATAAAGTGCTACAAGTTTCCTGTGTAAAGCTTGTTTGAAATGAAATAGGCATCCAATTATACGGACTTTAGGGAAAATTTGTTGAAGTGCCTCTATCATTCCCTTTTCAAAATCACAATGAATTTGAATTAGCTTTGAAAATTGAATACCCTTGACAGTAAAAATATATTCAAATGCCTTCTTATAAGATTCAAATGTGCGGTTTTTCATGAATATAAATAAAAGTGGTAGATATTGATTTGTTGAAGGTTCACAAATCATAATTGTTAGCATCTGTCCTTTTTGAAAATGTTTTGGTGTAATTTTAAAAGTTCCATCGCAAAATAAATCTGTGGCTTCTTTTGCAAATTGAATTGCCTTCTCAAAACCAAAAAACATCGTCTCACAATTTGCTTGAAAATCATGGCCAATGAAAAACTGCTCGCCATTTATTAAACAAAAATTAGCAATTTCATCGTCTGTAATTTTTTCTCCAACAGAAAATTTTCTGGACTTATTATAAACTTCCCTGACCAATGAATCTTTAATTAATGGGTTTTCATCAGTACCAACAGCAAGTTCTGTCATAAATTTTTTAATCTGCTGAAAAGTGCCGTTGTCTTCAGAAAATTTTGCCATTGCCTTATTGTATATTTCTGTCAGAGTCATTGATTTATGAAGATCATTTTTTTCATTTTGTAACTTTTTAAATTGTCTGCATTCGGGTATATGTTCCTTTTGTAAATCTTCGGAAACTGAACTGTTCTCAATTTTAACTAAATAACGTGCTTGACAAGAATGATCGATGCAACGGTAGTAACGTTCAATATTATTTGAATTAATAATATTTGTATGATCATGCGAATAAAGCATATCTTTGCGAACAATTGTATCAGGATATTTTCCAGTAACTGCGGGAATATTTTTAACTGCAATATAACTAAAATATCTTCTGACAGCTTTAGATTCATTTTCGGCGTATTTAATATTAAAATATTGAAGAACTTGTTTGATTATATTCGTTTTTTCATCTCTCGATGTTGATTTTTGGTATTTATCAGATTGTTCCCTGATAAATATTTTATTTTCGTCTGTAAAGTTTGCTCTTTTTTGATTAAATATAGATGATTTTCCCATTAAAAAATGAAATGATGCAAAATTTACGAAAACCGTTCGAAAATTGAATCAAAAATGAAAAGTAATACTTAAATGAGGAATTCTTTGAGATATTGGTCTTAGATTGAATGTAGCGTCATTCTTATATAGAATATATATTCATATCATCGGAAATATGATAAAAAGCATATAATAAATGTCAAAAAAGTGAACAAATAAGCAAAGATATTTTTTAAAAAACAATGAAAAGTAATACTTAAATGAGGAATTCTTTGAGATATTGGTCTTAGATTGAATGTAGCGTCATTCTTATATAGAATATATATTCATATCATCGGAAATATGATAAAAAGCATATAATAAATGTCAAAAAAGTGAACAAATAAGCAAAGATATTTTTTAAAAAACAATGAAAAGTAATACTTAAATGAGGAATTCTTTGAGATATTGGTCTTAGATTGAATGTAGCGTCACAAATTTCACAAATATAATTTACTATACAATTTTATTCATTTTTTTAAAATGGCTGACGACAGTCTGTATCAACTAACTCAACTAGTCAAGCATAATGATTATTCTTCGGATTCATTAAATCAACTTTATCAATGCATAAGTACAATGACAGAAAGATCAATTGGATGCTTGAATTGGGATAAATTTTTCAAAAAAATCACAGTGACTGATGAAGTTCTTTTACATTTTTTAGCATCCGTTTTAAACATTGAAAAGATATCAGAATGTTTCAAGGATTCTATTTTTTATCACAATATTAATCTTGAAAAATTCAGTAATTTAACTGAAACAGAACAACAAACAATTTTAAATTCCTACAAAGCGGATAAATTTACATATTACATAATGTGCTCACAAATTGTAAAATCAAACTGGAACAATTTATCCCAAACTTTAGTTAATATTGCAAATCAATATTTGCCATTTTTAGATGAAGAAAAGCAAATATATATATTTACTGAAATAACTGGCAATTATCAAAATTTTGAAATTTCAGTTGCAAACTTGTTACTTTTTTATGAAAACAATGAAGAAAAATTAAGCAACTGTTTTAATTTAACATTGTTCCAGCAAATTTATTCCAAAAATGGAATCGAGCAAATGATATTTTTTGCTGCAAATACAATTTGTTGCAATAACACTTCTATCAATTTTTACAATCTCCTTGAAATTGAAGAAATGAATCCATTTGATTTTTTTATTTCTCAATTCAATATAAAGAGATATTAAATTGCGATGATTTTCCAAAAGTTACAGAAGTAATCACAGGTTTAATCTCAGCTTCAAATATTAATGCTATTATGCGAATTTGCCAAAAAATTTTGGATAAAATTACATTTTATAAATGTAATTATTGCCATATTACCTCAATATGGAATTTTATCACAAATGCAGCAATAATTCTTCCTGATGAAGATTTATTAATCAAATTATTAAAATTCATAGAAAAAACAGAAAAAGCAACAGATGAATTATTCGAACCGGAGAATGATTTGGGTTTCTATGAATATTTAAATTCGATTTTCTCAGATATTACATCTGCGAGAAATAAGCAATTTCTCTTGGAATTTCTAAATACCCATGAAGATGACTTCACTTATGATCAAACATTGTGAGGTCATTCTTGATCAACAAATTAGTAGTAGTGTATGATGGGTTTAGTGACTTTTTTTGTAAACGTAAGAATTCATACAATATCGAGTGATATTGTATCATTTTTAACATATGAAATAAAAAATATATTTATTTATAAATCATTTAAAATTAACATTAATTTTAAAATAATTTATTTTTTTTATTCTTACATAAATGAGTGAATCAAGATTCGTGACTGTGAATCAATTAATGGATAAACTTTCACCAATTCTCACCCATGTTAAACAAGTAGACGTTTATTTTGATGATTGCATAGAAAGTTTATTTTATAAAGGTAAGTTTAATATTAAACCTATTGCTTTTGCATTTGATGGTAAATTAATCGAAAATTCAAAAATTTGGGAATTAATTCCGGATATTGAATTTATAACAAATATTAAGGATAAATGGTTTAAACAACAAAACCACTTCACTAAAGTTCTTTGTAGATTAATGATTAAAACTGAGGAAAAAGAATTTAACAGGTTTAAATATCATCCATGTAAAATTTTAGAACTTGGTAACGAAAAACTTCAGAAAAAATTAAACGCAAGACTATCAAAAGATAGAATTGAAAGAGTAATTAAACTCGCTAAAGATAATGATGATGATGAAGAAGAATTTGATGAGTTCAACATAGAACTTTAAGAAACTAATGATTATTTGAATTTATTTTTTATTTTGTATGAAATGAGTGTCACAACTAACAATGTTAAAAATTTAGGATTCACAAATGAGGAAATAAAGGATATATTAGAGGAGGCGGGTTATGAGGTTGATAAATATTATTTAAGAAATTGTAAAAAATTCGCGGAGTTCTTAAATGAATTTGATTATGATGGAAAAATGAATAAAGATGATGTTATAAATTTCTTATATCCCACATCTAAAAAAGAAAAACCTAAAGAACCTGATGTTTTCTCTGAATATTATGAAGAACGGATTAAAGATGATGAATATGATGAAATTGAAAGACTGGAAAAAATAAGAGATGAAATAGATGAAAAAATTAAGGAATTAAGAGAAGTTGAAAAATATAATGAAAATGAAGTAGAGGGTTTAATGAATATCCCAGCTTCGGAATCAGAAGTTCAGAAATCGCATGAAGAAAGATATAAAAATTATGTCTCAGAATCAACACAAAATTTATTAGATGGTGAAATAGATGAAACACTTTCAGAAGAAGGAACTAAATTTATTCGTAAACATAAGTTACAATTTATTGATAATGAAGAATACCCTTGTATATTACTTTCACCACCTTTAGATTCCGAAAAATTCAAAAAAGCTCTTAAAAACGTGACGTATGCAACTAATACGATTAAGAAAGAAGATCATGATATTTACACAAATTATTATTTAAATAAATGCACAGGTGTTGATAAAGTTTTTGATTTATTAGATAAAATATCAAAAGAAACCATTGGAACCTATAAAATTTTGTGTGATTGTGGTTTCATTGTTGAAGATACTAATAATGTTTCATATGAAAGAACAGCACCGAAGGAAGATGAAGTTGAAAGGTCTATACCATTCGTTATTAAGAACATAAAAGATATGAAAACTTATAAACATTATATTTATTCATTTATTTCAGAAAAAATGGAAGCAACCCATAAAACATCTTCTCATCATTTTATAGCTATTCATACATTCCTTTTCAAAGTTGTGAAATTAAATAAAACAGGAATTAGATTTAATGTATCAGGGTACACATTCTTGAGTAAATTAAAATGTATTCGTCACGTTGCAGATGATAAAAATTTATGTATTCTTAATTCATTTTATGGGCTTTAATAAATAAACTTTATTTTTATTTATTTTTTGATATTTTTTTCTTACATAAATGAACAAAAACGGAACAGCTAAAATGAATGATAATCAAATTAGAGCAGAAGGTAGAAGGTTATTTAAACGCTTCTATAACATTCCTGATGGTGTTAATCCTAAAACTCGTAGAAGCTATTTAAATGAAGCAATAGATGCATATGACGGGTTTGACATTTCATCAGAAAGTGAGAGATTAGCGAGAATGTTAAATGTTAATATTGATTTCTATTATTGTGATCCTCAACCAGAAGATGTGGACATAAATAAGGTAGACTTTCCATTAGTGGAATCAATAATGATAGATCCAGAATTTGAAACAGTAAATATTTTATTAACACAGAGTCCATGTGGAAAACTTCACGCTGACAGAATAACAGACGTTGAAGCACTCACCGGCTATAAAGTTTGTCCATATTGTAAAGAAGAAGTGTATTCTATCCGTGATGACCCAGAAAGGAAAAACCAAAGAAGATTTTTAAAGCATTGTGAGAAATGTAAAGAAAATAATGGAAGATTAATTCAAGACGTTCAGTTGCAAAAGACACAGCAACCATATGCACCACATATTACGAAACAGAAGATATATCAGTGGTTATTAGCTCACAATTTGCAGGAATATTATCAACCGACAAGATATTATATTACTTTTGACTTTGAAACATTAGAGACTAAAGAAGAATTACAACTTTCTGAGTGTGCAACTTTGAACGCTTACTTAAAACCATTCATGGTATCATCAACGGTTAAATTAAATGATAAAACGTATACGAGGAATTTTTGTTTAACTTCGAGTGATTCTTTTATTTCTGATTGGATTGAGTTTTTATTTTCAACCTGTTCATTAGTTGCTAAATCAAATATTGAACAATATGAAGAATTATTGAAGTCTCATACATTAAATGAAAAACAGAAGGAAGCATTTAAAGAACTTCTAGATGAAGAATTCAATAAAGTGAATATCATAGGTTTTAATTCGGGAAAGTTTGATTTAAATTTAATTCTTCATGATTTAAACACTGCAAAATGGAAAATAAAATCAATGCTGGGTTCATCTTCACAATTTAAGCAAATCATTGTAAAGAAAACAAACGTTCCATATGAATTGAGTTTATTGACATCAGAAATTATATAGCGGGTGGGACATTAGACCAATTCACTCAAGATTTCGGAAACAATAAATCACGTGTTAAATCCTTTTTCCCTTATCAATTCATCACATGGGAGAATTATGAAGAAGAATTATATAAAGCGGAACCATTTACGAAAGATTCATTTTATTCAGCATTAACCCAAGAAACTATATCAGATAGTGATTATCAAATATATCTCAATGATGCTAAAAATTTTAAGAATAGATTAGAATATTTTATTCATTATTGCAATAAAGATGTTGAAATTATGATTAACCCAATTGATAAAATTATTGAAGAAACATTTGTTTATAAAATTGACATGCTTCATAATCTTTCTTTATCATCGAATGCTTCAATGATTCGTTACGCTTTAGCATATAAAAACTTTAATCCTAATGAAAACTATCTTGAGGAAGAGATAGAATCAAGTTTTGAATTAACGAAAAAGTATTGGAAATATAAAATTGAATCATATAAGAAACAAGATGAAAAAGCAGAAAGGGATAGTAAAAATAATGTTTCAATGGATGATTTTCAATACTATCATGATTTAATCCTTTCATCTAAATGCAAAATGTGCGGTAAAGCGTTTACATATGCAAATAAACCAACATTGGATAGAATCGATAATGAAAAACCACATACCAAAGAAAATTGTCAGTTAATGTGTTGTTATTGCAATATCGTGAAATCAAATAAAGATGAAGATGTTCAACGTTTAAGAATCAATTTAAGAAATTATGCATTAAAAAATAATTTACCAATGACTTTAGATTCAGTTGAAGCTTATCACATTCTCCGTAATGGAATTACTGGTGGTTTATCAAATGTTCAACATAGAGTAAATCTTAAAGGAATCACGCACATTAATAAACTTTCATATAATCCAGAAACTAAAACTGTATCAAATGAGGACACCACCAACATTATGACTCATTTCGTTGGTGTTGATTTTAATTCATTATATCCTTCATCATTTTCATCTAATCCTCATGATTTCATTCAATATACTGACCATAAAATGTATATGCCGGGAAGATTGAATGGTGTTATCATTTGTGATACAGCAACAAAGAAAGCAAAAGCATTGGGAATAATTAAGAAGAAAAATACTTTATTCGTGGCTGAAGTAAAGGGTCACATTGATGAAAAATACATTAATGATTACATAAACTTTTTACCGATAATAAGAAACTTAGATATTATCACAGATGAAAAAACAATTGGCAGTTTTATGTATAATTACATGAAATCAAACAATCTACCAGTTGACCAGAAACAGAGAAATTAACTCAGTTAGCATCAACACACAACCAATATCAACCATTTTCTTCTTATTATCTTTGGTATCTAATAGACAGATTTCATTTTATCATTGATGATATTCAATCAATTTTAACATTTACTAAAAACACTTGTTTAATGAATTTGCGAACGAATTTATGAACGAAAGACAAAAGGCTGAATTAGAAGGAAATAAAGGAAAAAGTTTATTTTGCAAGATTTCACTTAATGGATCATATGGTTACGATGCAATGAATACACAAAATTACGCAAAGACTAAAATAATGAATGCACAGAAGGCACGCGTTGCATGTATGTCAAATAAGTTTAAAAACATAAGAGAAATAGGAGAGGATACGTATCAAGTGATGCTTAAAGATAGATTTTATAGATGTGAACATGTTTACAAGAGGCATTCTTCACTTTAGATAACGCTAAATACTGGTATTTGGTTTTCATTTATGATTTTATGTATAAATGAATGTTAATCGTTTTCATTTCATTGAAGGTGATACTGATTCATCTTATTGGGCAATCGCTGGCGATCCAAATCTTCCTAACACTCAAGCATTTCAAGCAATTGTTACCGATAAACAATTTTATGATAAAAACATTTTCAAATTCGCACCATTTGATTTCTTCTGTTTTGATGAGAAATTTAAACCTAAATTAAAGAATAAAGCTGAAGAAAAAGCACATGAGAAGAAGTTATTGGGTTTAGCAATTGAGAAACAAGGTGATAACATGGTTGCTTTATGCCCCAAATGTTATACATCATTCAACGGTTCAATTGATGGAAGTGATTTTAAAAAGATTGCACAAAAAATGAAAGGTGTTAGTTTACGACAAAATAAACAATTAACACCTAAAAATTATTTGGATATAATAAATGATAAAGTGATATTTGATGGTCAGAATATTAATTTACAACTTAAAAACGGTCAATGACTCGCTTAACAATCGGTAAGACTGCATTAACAGGAGCACACACTAAGGCTGTATGTTGTGAAAATGGATGTTGTATGCCATTTATTTAATACAATTTAAAAACGTAGGGGTTGAGTCATGAATTTAAAATTTTATTTTTAATAAAATACCACAGAAGAGACAAAAGGAACTGTTAATGATGGTTTTGATACTATGATTCAAAGAGGTGAGCACCCTTAAACATTTATTTTATTTTTATATAAATGAATAGCGCAGATTTAAAAAATTTAATTGATGATTTAGTACTTAATCAAAATTTTCTTAATTATTATGAATTAAAATCATATCTCCAAAAATATGATGAAAATATAACGGGTGATGATATGGAATATTATTATCCATATTATAAAAATGAAATTTTGAAATATCATGATAAAATAATTTCTAAAATTAAAGACAAAATTAAAAATAATGAATATACAAAGGGAAAAACTAAATCACAACTTAAACAATTGAAAGATTTCAAAAATAAAGTATTAACAGAAGAAGATATTGATGAATTATATAAATTATATAATCCTGAGCCGCAAAAGCCAAAGGAACAAAACGCCCAGGTCATTCAGACCATAAATGAAGCACAAGCTTTAATTTATGATTCGTTAGTTAAATCATATTCAGCCCGACTTTTAAATGAAGATCAACTTTTGGAATTCATCCTTCAACATAAACTCGAAGCGGGAAAGTATATCAAACCTTTATATACAGCATATTTAAAACAAATGAATAGAATACATCCAGAATTAATGAAGGGGGGAATGAAATCCAAAATCAAAGCAGATAAAATTAAACCACTTGCAACACCAAAACCTCCAACGACAGTACCTCCTCCTCCTTCAGTTAATCCTTCATCATTCACTTTATTATATCCATTTCAAACATTAAAGAAGCAAAAAGATTTTAAAAAGGATTTCAAGATATTAAATAAACCAATTGACCCAAAAATTCAACCATTAAAGGAAAAATTTAGTCGCCCCTCATTTGCACCATATCCATATTCATACGAAATCGATCATTTAGAATATTCAAAAGGAAACGTTACTTATTTATTCGCCATTAACATTAACACTAGATATTTATATTGCATTCCAGTGAAAGGGAAAACAGAACAGGAAACAAGAAGAGCTATTCAATACTTACTAGATCATGAAAGAGTAGATAATATCAGGGGTGATGGTGATAAAGGATTTCAGGCAGCTATGGCTCATTATTTCCCACAAATTCATTTTTACTTTTCATCCTCTCCATATACGTTTCATAATAAAATAGTTGATGCAGTAATGAGAACTCTTAGAGATGCGTTAGGGGTTAACGGTCAGATATACTGGGATGGAAATCATGACTCCATCATACAGCAGTTAGTATATTATTACAATAATACATGGCATAGAACTATAAACATGAAACCAGTGGAAATGAAAAATGATATTTCAAAAGAATGGGAATATATTAGAAAACAAATGGAAAGGTTAAATGATGTTAAACGTGAACAAATTAATTCGGGGCTCATGAATTTTAAACAAGGGGATAAAGTTTTGATTCATCTCGATTATGGAAAAACTGATAAATCAATGACAAAAAGAAGACGAAGATTTGACACAATAGCTGAATTTGTTAGATATATTAACGGTAATGTATTAGTTGAGGTTAACAATAAATTAATAGAAATTCCGATTTATTTTATTACTCCATTATATTTAAATAATATTTAATTTTTTTATTTCGTAAGAAATGAGTGACAACGAAGCAGTCAAGAGTCCTGATGATGAATATAAAAAGAAACTAAACAAAATTAAATCAAAAATATGCTATTACAAAAAGAAGCCGCAATGTGGTGGGGTTGAAAACGATCAAGAGAGGAAAGAAATAATCGAAAAATTAAAAACTTACCGTTCAATCCTTAAACTGAGTGAAGCAAAAATAAAAGAATTTAATAGAATAAATAAATTGATTGGAAGAGATGAATTTAATAAAGATGAATTTTTAAACTCAATCCAAATTTAATTTTTTCAGTGCTACCATGTTACCGGGTGCTACCAGGTAATTTAATTTCTTTTAAAAATGGTGACAACATGACATTTTGACAACATCACGAGAGGAAGGTAAAAATGAATTATTTTTGAAGAACTGAAGGTGCTACCATGTTATCATGACATTTTGACAACAACACGAGAGGAAGGTAAAAATGAATTATTTTTGAAGAACTGAAGGTGCTACCATGTTATCATGACATTTTGACAACAACACGAGAGGAAGGTAAAAATGAATTATTTTTGAAGAACTGAAGGTGCTACCATGTTACCGGGTGCTACCAGGTAATTTAATTTCTTTTAAAAATGGTGACAACATGACATTTTGACAACAACACGAGAGGAAGGCATTTATGAATTCAAATCATACTTTATAAAGCTTCATTTACAGGTATTTCATCATCAGTAAATGAATCCTCATTATCGTTTGGTTCAACCTGTTTATATAATCCTTTCATTTCTTCTTTCAAAACATAACACCATGTTTGTTTACCATCTATTCTTCTATGTTTCCTATCACATTTATCCTTAATACTCATTTGGAAATTCTTGTCTTTCATGTCTGATGGTTTGCAGAATAAAGCATTTTCACACATCATACCTGCACACAATTCATCATAATGTGTATTTATCCATGCATCTAAAGGATTTGCTGATAATTCAATTAAATCTTGTTTGGCTTCAGTCATCGGTATGATTCGTGCATTAAATGATGAAAGGTCGTAATTGATAAAATACGTCAGTAAATTATCATAAAATTCCTTTGTGCATGAATTCATCAAATTCTTGAAGTAATCAAATTGACCCTTAAATTTACCATTAACCCTTAAAACTACATATCTTCTGTCTCCAACTTCAATTTTGACAGGGTAGACGTTATTAGTTACGAAAATGAAATTAGCAACGTTTTGAGCGGTTCTTCTGGGTTGATTCTTTTCATTAATTCTAATCTCATTATCCGTAATAATTGATTTCAAAGCGTTGAAGTTTGCGAGTCTGTCTTCACCAACATTCTTGAGTTCATTAAGTACAAGAAACATTTTATTCTCAACTACTGAATTGAAATTACCCGTTAGCTCACCTATTTCAGTAATGTTTTTACATGAATAACCAGCGAGAAGTTCAGAAATAATGTCTGTGAATCTGTTTTTACCTGTTCCCTGAAGTCCTTTCAAAATAATTGCTGTTTCATTCTTGATTCCAGGATGTTGAATCATTGATGCAATCCAGCCGAGAAGGTATTTATACACTTCATCATTATTATCACAAATGGCTTCTTTAATGAAATTCATAAACATCTCAATTTTTGAGTAATCAGGCTTTTCGAGAATGTTGTATTTATAACCTTGAAACGTTGAGAAAACATCGGGGGAATTAGATTTAAAGCAAACACCCTTAACGGTTAATGAGGATAATTGATTTAATAGTACATCCCATGCTGTTATTGTTTTACCTTCTTCATTAAATAATTTAATCATTTTAAGTGACTCTTTCATGTTTGATTGAAGAACGAATGATATTTGATTCATTTTGTCGTGGATATTATAGTCCTTTTGAATGAAATATTTGTTTCCACAATCTACAAAACGGATTACACGTGATAAATCCTCAATTACTTCAGAACTGTTTTTATACTGATGATTTTCAGCCTTGCGTCTAATATCTGTTATCAAAAACGAGTCATCAAGTTTTATGTCAAATGTTATTTTTGGCTTACGTAATAAAGGTAAAACATATTCATCATAATATTCCTTTTGATATAGTTTTAGAATCTTCACCAAAACAAATGGAGAAGTCATTAAATATGCATATCTATCACGTGCTTTTTCAAAATTACT